TAATAAAACATCATTAGCTGATCCAGAGAAAATTGATATTCTTGCTTTCCTAAATATATGGTACAATCGAAATGAAAAAATATCATAACATCTCCAAGGGTAGAAATTAAAACAACAAAGAATAACCCGCAAGAGAAATCATTAGTGTATTATGTAACATTCTTAGCTAGACAGCACCATGGTGTACAAAAACAAAAACTGTCGCGCATAAATTTATATTACTATTTTACCATATACTTCCTGATGCAGTTGACGCTTGACCTTCGAAATTACAATCAAATGACCACCAACCACCGGATGGCTAAGGAATAGCGATCATGTAACTCAACATCTATGGCCGTGCTTATCATGGACAGCAAAGGGTCATATAAGACCACTATTGTTTAGGAAAATACACCACCACAAGCACTGACAGCCTAGATAGAAAATGTCATTGAAACTGAGGAAACCAATGTAGCATAAAACAATTGAACATGTTTTGCCAACCCACAATTGTTGATGAAAAAACAAAGAACCAAAACTTGACTATCCTAAATTGAGTAAACACAATACGATGACCAAACAAATTGTAACATTCAGCCCAATTTCAGTTACACAAAACACACGACAGCATCAATGTAAACCTCATTTCTAACCACAGATATATCTTATGAACTTCCTTTTGTTGTTAATAAGCTGCAGCCGGGTGCAAGTTCCAAAACCATGCATCAGCACAGTTTGTTTCCTTCAACCGGTTGCCGAGAGTAAAAGTTTCACTGAGCTATAAGGTTGAGATAAATCTTCATCTTTTGTAAGCACAATTGTATTTTACACAATAGGAACAAATATAGGAATATCATTAGAGCAACTATTAACACTTGCAATTTCTTCCCATGTGCACAACTCATTTATTCTGTACACTTTGCTAAAGATATCTTATAACATAGTTAAAATCAGCCCCATCAAATAGATGGTTGAGATTGGACTATCGAAAGTTATCTGATCTAGGGATGGCAATGGGTAGGGTATGGGCGGGTACAACCTCCTTCTACCCAAACCCATACCCATAGGAACTTTTTATACCCACCCACTTCAATACCCATGGGTATAAACTGACACCCATGCCCATACCCATCGGGTATCCTATACCCAATGGGTATTCATTGGGTATAATATATAGCATTCAAATTCTTAAGAGGTAGAGAAATGAGTTCAAAATTCAAGTGATCATGGTAGAGTAGTATAGCACGTATGTGGCCTCCTCCAGTGGGTGGCCTCTTGGAGGCATCACGGGAGTATGAGCAGCGGTTGGTGGAAGGCCGACGTAGCGGAAGGCGGTGGTGGGAATTGGGGATCACTGGATCGAGTGTTCGACAAGAGTTTGGTAACCAGGAGTCGATATTTCATCTTTTGAGGAGTCACATAGGACGTATGAGGAGTGGCGAGCAGGTGATTATGAGCCTATGAACTATGACTTGTTTAAGGAATACGAGATTTAGGGTTGGACCATATGAGTTGGATGTTAACCACAATCACGTACTCACAACTACCATTCAAAAATGAAGAAAAATGTTGAAACATGAACGGCACACAATTTCCAGAAAAGCTTAGAAAGAGTAAATGTTATATACCGATCATTCGGCGGGGGTGGGCATTAATTTCTGTATTTCACTGATTCATGTTGTTGGCCAATCATGGGAGATATGTTAGTTAAGATAAAAGAAAAGGTACCACCAAGATACAGAATCATTGCTACTTTTCCACCACATACTAAAAGGACAGAATAATCGTGTATATATGTACCGTCACCAATGAATATTTGACATCTTTTCGGTTACAACATGTGTATTATGTTGCCATCTTTGTATATACACACCTTAAACATTATGTGTGCATTTGTAAAATATGGTATCCGATGGACTTGACTACCACGGTAATTACAAAAAGACAAAGTTTCCCTCTCTAAGTAATCAGCATGGTACCAGTTGCATTACATAAAGACCAAGCTTAACTTTAACAGGAGTGGCATGCTTGACTATGAAGTGAACTGTATATTGCTGAATGCACCGAGTAGTGGGCTGACCTAGTAAAAGAAACTGAAGTTGTCATAAAAGCAAGAATTTTCATTTATTATTGATTCATGTGAGACAGTACATACTAGATATGCTAATTAAGCTGGGACACATAAAACGGGAAGCATTGTAGATTTGCCATCACTACATACATCACGTTAATTCTCGACGCATCCCATCCACCACTTTATTTTGGCATCTTTTCCGGAGATCGAGTGGATGAGTATTATCTTTTCATGTCAGTGTGTGCAACTCGGAAACATGCATATGTATGCACCTATAGTCAGGACGTTATTTCTAGCTGACTAAACTACCATGGTAATCACTAAGGACAATGATGTCCTTTCTAATAAGCAATCTGGGTACTATACTACTGGTTGCATGAGTGACCAAGCTTAATTTTAAAAGAGAAACATTTTTTACCAGTAAAAACAGCAAGAGTGGCTCCTATTTTTATATATTAATTATAAACAAAAAGAGAAACAATATATTAACAACAATGTGAACTGCACATAGCTATGTATGGAAAGTAGATAGGACGGTTGTGGTGTCCTGTTTATATACCATCATGGTTTGGAATTTCGTCTAACACACTAAAGGTGTATACACCAACAGCAACATAACACGTGTTCAGGAAGAGGAAGATTCAAGATTGCTCTAGAAATTGAACGATAGTGCTGACAGCTTACTTGTACATCTCGTCATTGGATGTTGCGAGAAGAAGCGGTGTCCAGCGAGCATTGTGATCATCTACCGTGGGAGAGTGGCCACAACAACTGGGTAGGCGGAGAGCATTGATCTGGTCAGAAATTGAGTCTGTCGGTCCCTGTCCGGCAACAATGACGAACGATGCCAGCAACGACGCAAGAAGAGACGTCCAGCAGAGGGTTGACGGCACATCATGTTCCGTCCAACGGCAAGAGAGGCCGCAAGATCAAATTGAATTCTTTGATTAAAAGCACCATCCTTTCCACGACTATAGGAAATCAAATACTATAACCAAGAAGCCTAAAGATATAAAGCCCACAATTCTGCTCCAGCATCCCATCCTCTTCTAGTAAGAAAAATCAATCTAAAATTAAGGCATGTAAATCTCTACTTTCACTCTTTCTCCTCCATGGAAAACAAATCTATCTATCTCTCAATCTAGAAAACAAATTCATGCCGCCACCATCAGTTTTCCTTCTCTGAACCATCGTCCCTATTTCATCAGAAGCAGAGCTGTTGTTCACGCGGCCAGGAGAGTTTGTTTTAGATTTGGGAGTCTCTATTTTTTGAAGAAGCCTAAAAACTTCGCAATACTGCAAATAGATATGACACTCGCCAAAAGTACAAATTATCAGAACACCATGCCTATCTTTGAATGTTTGAAACTGTAAAACGCAAAGATGTCTCCAGTACTATTTTATGCATGAACCTTCTCTCTCTAATTCAGCAATAACACATGAGAATTTCTTTCTTAACAGCGTGAAACCCTTGGTTAGCACATTCATCTTGAAATCTCTCTTCGACCAAGATGTCAATGCACCTTTTCTTTATCTTTTTTTGTGGGGGAATGTACCTTTTCTATTAACTCTAGGCATTTGTACATTTTAGCACAAGCTAAAATATACTGCATCTACCAACACACACATAACATTTGGACACACATACATTTCAGCCAGTCTGGTGCAAACAAATCTGCGGCAGCAAAGGGGATCATCAGAAGCATTCAACTACGGAGTCTTCAAGTTGGTCATCTCTAGGCAAGGCATTATTGTATATAAAATAAAACAAAAGTGTAAAAGTTGTGGGTGTTATGTATAATGCATCTGCCTCAACCATGGAGTAAGAAGCTCAGCTTTGAAGGCTGATGAGTGAGCCGCATGCATTGCTCGGAATGCTAAGAACATTTGTCCATTGATGATGAATGACATATCAGTCGCTGATCTAGCTGGTAGCAGAGATGTATCTCACTGTCAAAATGTGGCAAGGGAATAAGGCTATCAGATAGGCCTAGGATGGTGCATATAAAGGTAATTTTCTCTCTCCAGCAACTTATTCCCTCTCCGCAAACTCGTCACAACCCCAATCATCGCTCTAATCACCTTTGATGAAGCAGTACTCTAGTAGATCCCACTTGCAACAACCCTTGTAATAACAATACATGCAAGGGTAGTGCAATTTAAACCTCTATCCACAAATGGCCGACAAATTTCTACTGCTTGTTTGCCATTTAAAACATATGGTTTTTGCTACTGCCTCTGAATTTTTTTGCAACCCTATTACCTCAGTCGAATGAGCTCATGGAATCATCTATGATGACAGTTTACAATTATAAAAAATACTTTTTTAATAGTGAAAATAATGGTATGATGAAAATCATGTCAAAAGGCAAATGGTCACAAAACGACACCATTTTTTGTGTTGAACTAAAAACATATGTCAACATATAATGATAAAGCCTAGGGAGAGGATAGTATTATTCTCAATGCTAGGCATGTGATTCATATTTGATTGCTATGTGTCGGCCCAGCAAAGCGAGGCATTGACCGGCAGCCTACCAAGCCATCAAATTGAAGCACGTATATGCGTAGAATGATATGCAGAGTGGGTCATCCTTCTCACCCACACATCCTTGTGAAGGAAAAGATGCCACTGCAATTTCCCCGCATACGTCCCCTCCACGGCTCACATCCAGAAGAGCATGTCGTCGGCATCACACTTTCGTGGACGCTTGCATTGCTCCGTAGTGACCTGTCGCCACTGCCGACCGTCATAACACAACAAATTTTACAAATGTTGCCATTGCGGATGTTGCCCACACGGTGGTGCCTTTGGACTTGTGTTTGCTAGTTTGGGAATCTGTCTGTAATGGTCTTCACTTGTTTTTTCATCTGTAATGGTATTCACTTGTTTTTCTAAATCAACGGAGGTCTCCCGGAATCATGGCAATGCTCCTGCTGTCTATCAAAAATAATCATATATGGTCTTCTTTTGAAATGGCTCATTGTTTGGCTTTGGTTTGCCATGGTGCTTGTGGGAATTCCTCCTGCTCTTCTTACTTGGCTTGCTACTACGAACATTGATGTTGTCCGTATCGGTAGTCTTGCTCGGTGGTCGACGCTTAGTGTTTGATCCCTGACCATGAGCACTAGGAGCCTGTGCAACAGGGAAGTGTGGCTGGTGGTGCGCCATGTACTGCTGCTGTGTGGAGTACGGTTGATGGTGCGCCATTGCCATGTACTGCTCCTGGAGCACATGGTCAATGCCCATCGGGGGCTGCCTCGTCACATCAGGGAAGAACTCTTGCCTGAAGGGCTGCCTCGTCACATCATCATCAGGGAAGAATTCTTGCCTGAAACCAGGGGAGAATTCTTGCCTGAAGGGCTGCCTCGTCACATCATCATCAGGGAAGAAGTCTTGCCTGAAACCAGGGCAGAATTCTTGCCTGAAGGGCTGCCTCGTCACATCATCATCAGGGAAGAATTCTTGCCTGAAATCAGGGGAGAATTCTTGCCTGAAGTACGGCACGTACGGCCGCTGCACCCTCGGAGGAATATTGTGGTACGGGTACGGCTGCTGGACCATCGGAGGAATATTGTAGGTATTCCTGGCCACCGCCATGGCAGGAAACTCCTGCTGCTGGTACGGCATGTATGGTTGTTGTCGCTGGAGCATAGGAAGATTCAGCTGGCTATGCACTTCAGCCCCGAACGCCGAGTATGGCTGCCGAAGCATAGGGCTGCCGGCGTCCAGGGCGTGAGCCCGCGCCGGAACCGGTAACTCTTGATCACGAGTTCCTCCGGCCTGGCGCCATGGCGCCCCCACAAAGCCCATGCCTGCGTCCTCCACTCTACCATCCTCTTGAACATGAGAGGCGTCTTCATCCTCCGTAACCATCTCCTCGTCCTCCTGGATGGACTCGCCGTGGGTTGCGGACACGGGGACGCAAGGGTCGGGCTGCCCGTCGGCGGGGGTTGCGGTTGCGGGCACGGGCACGGGCACGGGCACGCAGGGGTGGGGCTGCTCGGCGTCGTGGATCGCGGTTGCGGACACGGGGGCGCCGGGGTGGGGCTGCTGCTGCATCTGGCGGAAGCGGAGGGAGAGGGAGGCGTGGAGGGAGGAGACATGGGCGTCGATGTCGGCCCAGGTGAAGGGGAGATGGTAATGGGGCGGCGCGCAGGCGACGAGGCGGTCGAAGGTCTCCCGCAGGCGCTGCTTCCTGACGGGGAGCGCCGCGATGGCGGCCTCCAGGTCAGCCGTCGCCATCGGCGCCGCCGGCCGGGCCTGGCCAGTCGGCGACGACATGTCCGCCATGGGATGGGGAACACACGAGGACGGACGAGTCAAGGAGGAGGGGCGCAGGAGCTTGGGGAGGGGGGCAGCGACGGCGACGAATCGCCGGAGGCGGGGAAAAGCAGGGCCAAGGGGACGACAGGAGGCGATTTGTCCGGCGTGGAGGGTCAGGGGAGGCAGGCGGAGTTCGACGGCATGCCGGTGGGGATCGGGAAGGTGGGTGGCCGCGCGGACGAGCGCCGACGGCGGGAGTGGAGAGGGGGGGAGGAGAGGTCGGAGGCGGGCGGCTAGGGTTGGGGGCGAGGGCGGAAACCCTAGGGCGTCGGGGCGACGGCTTTATCCGGCCGGAGCGGCGGGTACGGCGGCCATCCGGTGGGTGGCCGCGCGCGCGCCCGTGGGATGAGCGCCACGTGCAGAGGCGGGATGGCTCCTGGGTTGGGCCGACTTGCTGCCCACTGGCTGCTGTGCTGCTGTCTAATCACTCTACTGCCTTTGTTTTAGTTGCTTTCACTCGACTCACTCTACGGCCCATATTCCGCTCGCAATTAGAGTGTTTTTTTTAGGCGCTAACGTTTCATTCGACTGTTTCTTTTTTTTTTCTCTTTCGACTATTTTTCTTGGGATACCTTTCGAAATATAATCAACTGACAAGATAGTACAAAGAACACCAGAAGTAAACATAAGTAAATAACATATCTATGTCCGTAGATCAACTGGCGACGACTACCAGCACTGGAGTTGGTTTTAGGCGGGACCGCGCTCTTCCCTTCTTCTTGTGCCCCTTGATTATTGATCTGAATTCAAGTTAGATTAGAGAATACCGGTGCCTTTTGATCCACCCTTAGGTTTGAAAATTGACCATCGGAAAGTCATGGTGCTAAGACCCTATAGCACCAGGGCACTAGAACAACAAGCATCGCCGATGAAGAGAAGCGCAGATTGGAAGGATCCAGCATGTAGACACACGCAGTGGCGGAGGCAGAGGTGCTGGCAGGGGCCCTACCCCCCCTCACCCCCCCCCCCATGCTCTCATAAACACAACTATATGTGCTCCAAATCCTTCATTTGTCAAGCAAAATTAGCTAGATTTAGGTGATTTGGCCCCCTCTAACATCATATGACATGTTTGGCCCCCTCTATATTGAGTTTCTGGCTCTGCCACAGGACACACGAACACAGACGAATGAAGACAGCATCCACCAGAGACAAAGGCTGACCGAAACCCACGAGATCCGCTGGAGGCAAACCTGAACACGTCCTCCGACGATGTTAGAAACACCACATGGACAGGGACTAGTTAAGCAGAAGTAAAACTACATCTATGTCTATAGACCACCTAGCGACGACTACTAGCACTGGAGTGAGCCGCAGGCGTGCCGCCTTCTTCACCCTCCCTCATCGGTGCCGGGCAAACCTTGTTGTACTTGACCGTCAGCAAGTCGTGATGCTAAGATCCATAGGACCAGCGTGGTAGAACAGCAACCGCCGCCGATGAAAAGAAGCGTAGATCGGAAGGATCAAACATGTAGACACGCAAACACAGACGAACGAAGACAGGATCCACGTGGATCCATTGAATACAAACGTCGACCGAATCCTGCGAGATCTGCTGGAGACAATCCTCAACACGCCTTCCAACGATGCTAGAAACACCACAGGGATGGGTGTCGTGGTTCTAAGTCTGACAGTGAGGTAGGGGGTGTGTATGAAGAGGCTAGACGTTAGCTATTGGGAAGTTGTAAGCACGCAAGGTTTACGAGTTCAGGCCCTTCTCGGAGGAAGTAACAGCCCTACGTCTCGGTGCCCGGAGGCGGTCGATTGAATTATGCGTGTGTAGATGACAGGGGTGCGAACCCTTCATACTGAGGAGGGGGGTGGCTTATATAGAGTTCGCCGGCCCTCTCCTTCCCTCAGTAATGCAGGGTTTAAGGTACATTTAAGGTGGGGCGTTACTGGTAACGCCCCCAATAAAGTGTTATAATGACCATAAAGACTACTTAATAGCCGACCGTTTGCATGCGGAGTGACTTTAGGTCTTCTGGTCAGTCGAGTGGTGGCTTCATGGTCGAGTGATAACTTCTTGGTTGAGTGTCTTGAACCCGTCGAGTGGGATACCTTCAACTTGATTGAAAGGTGACTTCTTCTAGGGATGTCCTAGGGTAGGGCTCTTTAGGACGGGTCCGTGCCCCTACCCTTGGTACATAGCTTCATTATTAGCCCCCGAACGGATTGAGGCTAGAGTGGAAAAAGGGGTAGTGACCTTTCCGACTGATTCTTCGGGTCATATGAGTGCTTCGTTCTGGGTCGACTGTCACGGATGACGTCATCAACTTCTTTCAGTCACCTTGATCCGTTCTAGGCCTTTCGTCGAGTGGATTCCTTTACCTGTGACATACCGAGCGCCGGTGCGCGCGGGATTTTCTGTTTTGATGAATCGTTCTGCAGCCAACGGATATCACGGGATTGGGATTTTTTGGGAGGCGCGCGGAACGGGGGCGGCCGCAGTAATCGGAAGTGACAATGCGAAGGCTCCTCGATCTCCGCGTCGCCTTTTTCGCCACGTACTGCGCGCGCGCCTTCCGCGGGATTTGACTGGATAGCCTGGGCCTACTGGTCAGTCACTCGGAAGCGGCCCCTTATAAGTTGCCGGCTCGGAGTCCTCCAACAGTGCGCGTGCTCCTCTCTTCTCCTTCTTCCTCTCTTTCTTCGCAATCTCCTCCGCTGCCTTCGCTCTCGCCCAACCACCGCAAACCAGTTCGAGATCTCGCGGGCGACGATGGTGAAGGGCAAGACAACCGCTCTGGAACACGCGAAGAAGGCGGCAGCGGCGGGGAAGGGGATGAAGTCTGCGCGCGGCGGATCCTCCTCCAGGACGGCCCTGCCCAAGGGTTGGATCCAGGGCGACTGGATGCCATCAGTGCTCCGGCAGGAGGATCTCGATGACATGGTGGAGGGGGGGAGCCATTCACCACAAAGCCGCACGTCTTCTGGGGGGAGAAATCGAGCCCCAACCTCGCGACGGTGAGTGCGTGCTTCTGGCCACTCACATCGACCGAGGGTTGTCTCTGCCACCCCATTCTTTCTTCCGAAACTTCTTGAACTTCTTTGGAGCGCAGCTCCATCACTTTACCCCAAACTCCATAGTCTATCTTGCCGCCTTCGTTTCTATGTGTGAGGCGTTCCTGGGTTGCCGCCCACACTGGGGGCTTTTCAAGCACATTTTCACCTGTCGCTCTCAGTCGGTCAAGAAGGCCAAGTCGAGTGATGAGAAGACACAAGTGATCCAGCTGTGTGGGGGCTTGGCGATCCAAAAGAGGGGGAAGAGCTGTTTCCCAGCCATTACTTTCCCGGAGTCAGTCCGAGGCTGGCAGGCGACTTGGTTCTACTGCCAGGATCAGGCGACTCGAGCGCAGTCGACTGGGCTCCCACCTTTCTCTCTCGACTAAGCCAAAAAGCCTGCTTCTCTGAAGGTGACGCTTGAAGAAAAGGCCCAGGTCAAGGTACTGGCGGGTCGAATGGTTGAACTTGTCCGCGAGGGCGTGACGGGGATGGATCTGCTGGAAGTCTTCCTCAAGAGGCGAATCCAACCGCTCCAGGCTCGTGAGCACCCGATGTGGCTGTACTCTGGCCTCGAGGACACCACTCGGATCCACCCGGAGGAGGTCACCGATGAGATGTTGGAGGGGTGGCTGTCAAGCATCACGGGGAACAAGGACAACCCCCGAGGAGCCAGGAGGGTCATTCCACTCGACAGCTCGTATGAGGTCGACCAGGTGTGTCTTTATGCTCCCGACTGAAATCTTTGTTTTCTGCGTTGGTCGTCTTTTGAGTAGGTCGATTGACTTTTGTTTTGTCTGCTATTTTCCAGGCGACCACCGAGATGTACTCGACGCCCAATGGGGCACAGGGGTCGACTGAGGAAGGAGAAGGGAGCGGAGGCGAGAGCGGGGATGACCACGGCGAGTGGGAGTCTGATGGTGAAGGAGAGGGAGGCGATGACGTCTTCTCCAGCGAAGAGGAGGAGGAGGAGGTCGAACCCCCCCGCTCGGAGAGGCGATCCAAACTCGCACACGACCTGGCGCAGGAACGTGGCAAGGCGACTGCCTCCGTTGGGCCGTCGTCAAAACGCCCTCGGACTTCTTCTCCAACACCGACTGGGAAGGTCCCCAAGCAACCACGCACGACGCTGTCCAAGCCGCCCAAGACTCTGCCCAAGATGAAGATAGCCGTCCCTATCATTTCCGGGTAATAAATCTTGTTTTTCCTTCGTCGACCATGGGCGGATCCTTGGTCGATTCATTGAGCCAATCAACTGACTTTTCGAAATTTGCAGCGCTGCTACCTCCGAAGTCTCCGCCAAGGACGACGACCAAGAGATGGGGGACGCAGCTACCTCCAACCCAGGTACGTTTACTGTCGTCCTGTTTTCGAGTCGAGTGGTCATTTCTTGCGATTTTGGTTGATTGAAAGTTTCCCTTGCAGCCCCTCCTCATGTTATCGACCTCCCGGATGACGACGACAATGAACCGCTGAGGATGAGGAGGACCAAGAGGTCGTCGGCTGACAGGACTCCCCAGCCAACTCCGGCGCCTGAGACCGTGGCTCGGGATGGTGGCGACGCCCCTCGGGCCTCTGTAACTTTTGCCAATCCCCTGTCGAGTGCGCAGCCTTCGGCGTCGACTCCAGATCCAACTTCGGTTTTGTCGCATACCTTGTCCCTAAGGATGAAGTGGCTGCTGTGAAGGAGGCTATACGCCAGGCGGGGGTCATGATGGAGCAGGTGAAGAAGGCTCGGGAGGCCAGCCAGGCAGCCTATGATGCAAGTTCGGCACTTCAGAGCAACGTCCAGGTCAGTCGACTTGATACTTGATCATTTGAAGAGTCTTTTTCCTCCCTTTTTTTGAAGATCTTTGTATCTGTACACCCACTGGGTGTGTTTTCCCTTTCTCGGACCAGTGGGGGCACGCTAAGTGCACCCACTGGGTGTAGTCCCCGAGACTACGGTGGACTGCTGGCAGTCG